CATCCGATATTCGTACAAGTACAGATGTTTTATATCGACCAAGTCCAACTGTATCGCATCATCGTTCGAATACAGTTCCAACACGTCATCGAAAAATTCCATCAACTAAAACATCTAAACAACAAACAACACATCTTTCACCAACATATAAACGAAATGAAACTTCAAAACCACGATCATCATCATCATCTTCACGACCATTTTCTCCATCATCATTAAAAGCACATCCAAAACGACGCATACGACTTATTGATGATACAGATGAAGGTGAATCACTATCTGTTAGTATGGTCCAACGTGATGATTAATAATAAATTTGAAAATTCCGTCCAAAAAAACAAATAAATAACAATATAGAGATATATGACAGACAACAGTCTCTGTCAGATAGGAAAAAATAAATAAATTATCTGTATTTATATTCTCATCTATTAATATTTAAATTTAGAAAGAGTGCGTCGGATAAATAACATCAAATAAATCTTTTCTTTCTTTATTCTTCTTCTTCTTGTTCGTTGTTTTGTCTTATCTTTTATTCTACCGGTTGACGCATCTCTTGTTTTTTTTTCATTGTGTGTTTGTGTTCGTTGCATATCAAGGTTTTTTTTTCTTGTTTTATTTCTCTTCTTTTTTTTTGGAATAGAAAAAGAAAAACAAATATTAAAGGTGAAACATTTATTGCAAACGAAGACATAATTGACGAGTTTCTTCATATCGTCGACGATCCTGATAAAATACAAAAATGTATGAAAACTAATTCGAAGTATATTAATTACTGTTTCAGAAACTGATGGAATAATTTTACTAAATGCACGATCAATATGTGCTTGATGAACACAAGCATCTTCTGTTAATAAAGATTTTGTAATATGATCTGTCATAGCAATTTCTGATGCTTCACGGATTAATGCAGCAAGATCAGCACCACTAAAAATATAACACATTAATGATATATTAAAACTGAAACAGTGTTTTATCTAGTGGGTGGGCGGCGCCCACTCGGTATTTCGATTCGCACACTCGAAAAACGAAACATTGAATTGAATAACGCTCTCCTTGATTTATATCTTTGATTATCCGGCTTTACAAAAAATCTACTTACGTATATCCATGACATCGTTCATCATCACTCATCAATTGTAGATTAACATCGGATGATAAAGGTGGTCGAGTACCATTCTAAAGTAAAATATTTTTCATTTTTTACATTGGTAAAATCAATCATTACTTTTGTAATTGTTTTAAGAATATCAAATCGTCCTTGAGCATTTGGAAGTCCAACATAGATATGTTTATCAAGTCGACCAGGACGAAGAATAGCTGGATCAAGGATATCTATATATCAGAAATATTTGTAGAAATATAGTCTTGTTTTTTTTCCTCTTATTGTAACTAACCCATTCGATTAGTTGCTGCCATAACATAAACACGTTTACTTGCTGTTGTTTGATCAACACCATCCATTTCTGTTAATAATTGATTAACAACTCGAGCTGTTGAACCAGTATCATGAGCTGTACGACGTGGACATAATGCATCAATTTCATCAAAAAATATAACACATGGATTTGAATCACGTGCTCGTTGAAAAACTTGTCGAACTGCTCGTTCACTTTCACCGACATACTATTTTTTTTATATTAAAGAAAAAAAGTCAGTAAAAAAAAAGAACGAAATTTATTTTCATAAATACCATATTTAATAATTCAGGTCCTTTAACGGATATGAAATTAATACCAGATTCATTAGCAATTGCTTTTGCTAATAAAGTTTTACCTGAAAAGAAAAGTATAATAGACAAAAAGGAAAACTAATCGAAATTTTTCTACGAACCACATCCTGGTGGACCAACAAGTAAGACACCAGGTGATCGAACAAATCCAAAACGATCATACAATGCCGGATATCGAATAGATGCCTATGAAACGTATATAGTTTATTTTGAAATTCATTAAAATAAATCTTACTAATATAGCCATACTAAGTTCTTCCCGAACATCTTTTAATGCACCAATATCATCAAATGTAACATCAGGTACTGTTGCAAAACCTTCTCGTTTACTCGATGGTTGAACACTCTTCAAAGCTATCTATTATTATTTAATAAAAAAAATTTCTCTGAAAAAAATCAACTTGTTATTATCTACATACTCGAAAATCATCCATTGTAATAGTACATAAATTTTCTGAAAGTTGTTTTTCAGTTGGTGGATCATGAATTTTTTCTTTTATCCATTCAATCACTTTAAAATTTCAAATAAATTAATAGGAAGAAAAAGAAAAACTACGAATCTTACTCGATTGATTTGCATTTAAATCTGCATTCATTTTTCTAAATAAATCATTTATGAGAATAAGAATTTCAAATATATATATATTTACCTATTCAATGCAGCTGCTAATGCTTCATCAATTAATGCACTTAAATCAGCACCAACAAAACCAGGTGATTTCATTACAACTTCATCTAGATCAAATGTCGATTCTAACGAAGTTAATTTTCGACACATCATAGTTAAAATTCTAAAATATAATTTATGACAATAAATATTTTATTAAAGAATTGTTTTTTTCTACCTTCTTCGTTCAACTTCATTTGGAATTCCAAGTGCTATTTCATGATCAAATCGACCAGCACGTCTCAATGCTGGATCAATTGAATCAGGTCGATTTGTTGAACCAATAATAACAACACGAATCATTGGTAAACGAGATAATTCTATGTATAAAAAAATCTATTTAATTCAAAATAAAAAATTTTAATTTTACCATCAAGACATGCTAATAATTGAGTAACAATACGTCTTTCCATATCTTTCGAAGCTGATTCACGTCGTTGTGAAATAGCTTCGATTTCATCAATAAATAAAATACATGGCGAATGACGCTAAAAATAAATCCATGTAAAAAAACAGTATTAAAATTTATTTTCTTTACTTTTGCTTGCTCAAATAATTTACGTATTTTAAATTCTGAATCACCTGATATTCCAGAAACTAATTCAGTTGATGTTGTTTTTAAAATTGGTAGATGTAATTCCTATTAATAAATAAAAGACTTTAAGAAAAAAAGAAGAAGAAGATTCTTTATAGACTTACCCCAGCTAATGCTTGAGCTAATAGAGATTTTCCAACACCAGGTGGTCCATGTAAAAGAAATCCACGTGGTGGTGTTTTACCATTTTGAATAAAATCTTCTGGTCTCAAAATAAAATATATTCGACGAATTAAATTCTAAAAATAAATGATTTTGTTTTAGTAATTATTTAGAATACTTTGATTTCAATTTTAATATACTTCTTTAAATTGATCAGATGCAGCAAAATCTTCAAATGTCAGTTGAGAATATTCGACATCAGGACCTAATTAAAATAATATTTCTATGAAGGCAAAAAACAAAGTAAATCAATAATTACCATCAATATCATTTGTATCTAATGATTCTGTTGGTCGTTTTCTTTTAACTTTCTTTACTGATTTTTCATTTGAATGTTTTCGTTTTGTATCTTCAGATTTTGTTGGAGATTCTGTTTGATTATTAGAATTTTCCGGTAACGATGATGCTGTTCCAGTATTATTAGCATAAAGATTAGCAACCATTTGATTCATTGTATTTGGACGCTAAACTAGATAGAATAAAATAAGAGTTCAAAATAAAAAATAGAATGATAATTTACATGAGCAGCTTGTTGTTCCCATTCTTCTTCTGAATCGGAAGATCTATATTTACAAAAGAAAACAAGTTCAATACTAATTTATCATCTATTATATTAAACTTACGTTTCACTTTTAGTATTTTCAGTTTTCGATGATGCATAAGAAAGAAAATCATTATCAGTTAATAGAATTTCATAAGCTTTTTATTAAATAAAAGATTCAAAGATTATATTAAGAATTTAATAATTATCAATCTACCTTTCTCAACTGAACGTGTAAATGGTCGTATTTTTTGTCGTTGATATTCTCTAAAAAAATCAAATCAATATTATTATAATCGACATTAATTTTATTTTTACCGATGTCGATCTTTTAATGTTTGTGCTATTTTTTCTAAAGTCCATCGTATTCTTTTTGCATCTTCTAATAAAAACTATAATCAAAAAGTAAATCTGCTTTTCTTTTTTTTTATTTAATTTCATTTTATCACCTCTTTTAATTGTGGTACTAACTGGTTATTAACCATATAAGGTGTCGGCATCTGAAATAATAATAAACATAAAAGTTCACTTATTTCTTTCTTTATTTCGGAAAAAAAACACAATAAGATAGTACGATGAATTTTGATTAAATAAGCTAACAATAAAATATTCTATCGGCTGAAACAAAACAACATAAACAACATGTTTTCTTTTTTTTCTGCAATGATGCTAAATTATACACAAATCTGTATCTACATATATGTATATAATGTTTGTTTGTTCGGTTTTTTTCGTTCATGTAAATTCAACATGATTTTCCCAAAAAGCAATAACTGCTTGTGAATATTTTTTATTTGCAATTTTTGATGAAATCCATTTTGATTGTTTTTCATTAATTAATTTAATACGAAATGATATACCATCGTGATTATTTCGTACAGCTTCAATTTTTTCAACTTGATTCGTTTCATCAATTGTACCTTGATCATTTATCGAATTATCTGTTGTAGATTTTTCATGATTATGAATATCACTATCATTAAGAATTGAAGAAATTGATGATGTTGAACTTGGTGTAATATGAAGACGAAGATTAATTGTTGTTGGTTCACAAATATTTATTTCTTTAGGTGGAGTTCTATCAGAAAATATACTACTATTATTATTAGTATTATTATTTTTATCTTCGATAGTCATTGATAATTGTTCATTAGACGTTCTTTTAGGTTTTGGAGTTATTGAAAGATCTTTTCGTGCTTTCTTTGTTAATGATTCATCTTCAGTAGTAGTAGTAGTATCATCATCTTCATCATCATTTGAGCTTCCATTTTTAGCTAGAAGATAAAAATAAGGAATTCTTAATCAATTTAAATATAAACTTACACATCGTTGTAATACGAGAATTTGTTTGATTCACAATTTTACGACTTGAATGACGACGACTTGATGGTGATTCCTCAGGAGATAAACTAAGTTTTTTTCGTGGACTATGACGTTTACTACTTCGTGTATCTTCATCATCATCATCATCGTCTTCATCATCCTCATCTTCATCGTTCTTATTCGAAGTAGTACCATTTTCTGAAGTTATATCTTGATATTCATCACTTTCATAATTTTTATCACTTTCATTCGCGTTTGTATTTTTCGATTTTTTTGTTGATAATTTACTTTTTCTTTTTGATGTTGTAGATTTTTGTTCATTAGTTTTGCTTTTTAATTTTTCTTCAAAATCTTTCATTAAATCTGGACAATTTAAATTACGTTTTTGTTCCCACTAAAAGAAATAATATTACATTTAGTTTTATATATATTCAATAAGAAATTTTCTTCTACTGCTATTAAAATGTATCACAGAAAAAAAGTTTCATCATGATAATCTATCATTCTAATATTTCTATTACTATTTAATTAAATATTAATATAGCTATTGTATTAGTTAGTTTATGTTAATATGTAAGAAAATAAAAATCTATATAATTAGTATTTGTGATAATTTACTTCGTTATTTTACTATAAAAATTGCTCTGTAAACTTAGAAAATTTTATTAGTACTTGTCTTGTATAAAATATTTTGCAGTACCACTCAGATAAATGAATGTACATTCCTAAGATATGATTTAATCAAATTTAATATTGGATTTATCTACTTAAGCTTCCTCTATCAACTTTAATTTAAGGCATTAAACTAATATCATCCTATTTGAATAATTTTCTTTACAATCAAAAAAAGAAGTTCGCCGATATTTGTTGAGTAGAAAGTATTTAATCGAAAAGCAAATGTATTTTTATAAAATATATCGAAATCTTACCGTATTATATGCCTCTGTATAACCTTGCCATTTGAGGAAATATTCGATTTTTTTTCCTCGAACTCGTTTATCAAGAATAGCTTCGACTACATATTCATGTTCATGTTCGGATTCATCGCCATGATTCGAATTTGTTTCACGTTGACGTTTTCTTAATGATACATTAACCATTTGTTTTCGTTTATTTTCTGCAAAATATTATCTGAAAAATAGAACAAATCAAACGAATTTATTTATGCATTACAATTTTGATAGAAACGAGGAAATAATATAACATCTCGAATATTATCAATACCAGTAATAGCCATTAAAAATCTTTCTATACCTAAACCAAAACCACCAGTTGGCATTCCACCAAAACGTCTTATATCAAGATACCATTGTAAATCATGTGTTATATCTAATTCATCTAAACATAATTTTAATTGTTCATAACGATGTTCTCGAAGACTTCCACCTGATAATTCACCAATAGATGGATAGATAAAATCAAAATTAGCAACTGTTGTATTATCATCATTAGTTAACATATAGAATGGTTTTAATTTTTTTGGATAATTAATTATAAAAAATGCTTGATTATTCATTATTGTTTTACAAAGATAACTTTCATGTGCACGAGTAAAATCTCCATTATCGGGAAAATCATGAAAATCAGTACTTTTTCTTAAATGTTCAACTGCTTGTTGGTAACTTATTCTTGGATAAGTTTCTTGATTAAGAAATTGTTCAATATATTTCGATTGTATATTATGATTAGCTAAATATTTAAATTCTTCAGAACATTTGTTATATATTTGTGTAGCAACTGTACGTAAAAGATGAATGTAAATATCAAGTAATTGATCTAATTTAGTTAGACCTAGAAAAAGAAAGAGAATAAATAAATAAATAATAAGTAAGATGAATTCAAAATAGTATAACGACTTTCTCATTAACAAGAAATATTTCATATTCGAAAGATGACGCCAGAATGCGTTTGAAGATTTAGAACAATGTTAAATCTTTCTAAAGTTCATAAATTTAAAAATAAACGAAATTTTTATTTTGTGTAATAACTAAAACAAAATGTTTACTTCTATTTAATTATTGATAAACAATTGAGTTGTAGATCTATTTTCATATGAAATACGTGAGAAAAGTGGTCTTACATTTTTTGTATACAAAATCGATTAGTAAAGAAAATTTTTGTACAATGATAAGACGTTATATTCATTCTTTTATCTTTTTTTAGAATAAACAAATGTTATACTTAGTATTTTAAACGTATATACACATAATTGCTTGTATAATGATTTATAAGTAGAAGGATAAAATACGAGAAAAGATAAGAATAAATTAGTATATGAATTACATCTATTTTTTCTTTGAAAATGTCGAGCATAACAGGAAGATAAGAAAAAAAAGTGAAGAATGATTTATTGTCTATGTAATTTCATATCATAAAAGGAAATATAACTCTCTGTCAACACTGTTACAAATGAGCTACATTATAAGTTTAATTTTTGCTAATTTAAACGTTGTTTTATTAACTGAATAAATTGAAATCATATTCATAAAATAAACTATTTAAGATAGAAAGAATATTTTTATATGGACACAGCATGTGCATTTCCTCTCGTTTTTTTTCTTTCGTCAGTATTAAAGTAACACCATAACACATGTATATTTCGTCTACATATATTCTTTCATTCTGATATCGTGAATATGTACACGTTGTTTGCTATGATAACGTTTAGATATAACTAACTAAAAAATGTTTCCAAATATGTGAAAACATCACATGTTGTTTTTTTTCGTATGGATGCTAATGATTTTTATTTCATTGAGGATATATATATTTAATACATATGTATCATTCATTTCACGTCATATACACTAGCGAGTTTTCCTATGGCTATCATCCTATATATACACATAAATCTTTATATATAAATCAAACTATCGAGTTTTGAATACGTTTCGACTTACCAGCAATTTCCACTTCTAACATCCAAAATTCTGCTAAATGAAATCGACTTAAATTTTTATCTGCACGAAATGTTGGGTTAAGTGTATAGACACGTCCAAAACCACTAATTAAAAAATAATAATAAGTTTAAATAGAAAAATATAGTTATTTCTTTATTACTTTGCTGCTGTTTCAAGATGTAACTGTCCCGAAACAGTTAAATAAACTTGTGTATTAAAATATTCTTTTTCTTTCTGAGTTACTTTTGATTGATATGGTTGAATACGAAATGTTTCACCACCACCTTCACAATCATTTTTCGTTAAACATGGTGTTTGTATTTGTATAAAATTATGATTATGAAAATATTCATATAAACTAAATGTTAATTGATGACGTAAACGAAATATAGCTTGTGCAAGTGGTGATCGAAGACGAAGATGTTCATCTTGACGTAACGTTAATAATGTTTCATCAGTTTTTGGTTTAAATGGATAATGAGATGTATCACATGAATTTATTAAATTAATATTTTCAGCAACAAATTCAAATTCTTGTTTTGGATGTGTACTTTTAACAAGTTTACCTTGTACATTTATTGAACAACCATGTGTTAAACGAGGTAAATCAGGATGATCATCTAATGATGCAACAACTTGTAAATGTTTTCGATTATTTGTTAATGAACCATCGAAGAGATCAAGAAAATAATGTGTTTTTAACTTTCTTATATTAAGAAGATAACCAATAAGATTTATAGATTGATTTAAAGGTTTTTTATCATAGATTTCACGTATTGTTAATGGATATAATGAATGACTAAAGCGATATGATATAGATGTTGTTGTTACTCGTCGTAGTTGAAGTAATAATGGTAGGCGAAACATCAAAAATTAAAAAATAATGCAAAAAGTTTTTTTTTGTTTCATTATAAATTTATACGAACATCGTTTTTTCATAAAGAAAAAAGTTTATATTTAGTAAGTCTTCTGATGACAAAAGAAGAATAAACTTTAAATTCTAAGAGAATACTATTGATCATTAAAAATTTATGGAAAAAGTTTTAAAGAATGAATTATTTGTAATAAATATTATCTATCTCCGTATTCAATGAAACTAAAAGAATTCTAAATCTTACTCATAATTGATCAGATCAATTTTAAAATTTTTTTTGAAATATCGAAATGTAAATATTATGTTAAAATTGTTTATTTTTGTAAAGTATATTGAAGATAAATATTTACTTTAACCCTGAGGAGAAAAAATCAATTTTTCTAATAGTTGATTATTAAATAGTACATTTGACTTTGCTTATTTAAATTTTACAAAAAAAAAATGCTTTACGTTTCTCTTACAATCATAGTTTTAATTTAAATCTAATCTAGAATAATATAATGAAATATAGCTAAATCAAAGAAAATGCTACAAGATTATTGAATGATTTAACTGAGGTAATATAAAACTGATTTTCATGTACATTTTTAACCGATATATTTTAGACAAGGTCATAGTCAGGGGTGTGTGCTAAAGGTGACAGGGCACCTCCCCTGGAAGAAAAATACCTGGAGTGAAGAGCACTTTAGAGAAGCTACGTTCAGGGAGAAATGCTTTTCTATTGGCGTGCATTCCCCTTGAAAATATATGGTTACCCTACTAATTTTAAATTAAAAAGTTTATATGAATGACTATTACGAGTGATATAATATTGTCTAAGAAATTTCCATTTGAAATATTAAAAATGTAAATAATAAAGACAAGAGCAATGTGTTGCTATGTATTAAATACAAATTATTTCGATTGTTTTTTTTTCTGAATAAAATAATGACTTCTATAGATTCAAAATTATCTCCTTGTAAAGATTCAATTCAAACAACTATTCATCAACCATTGCTAATTCGAACTAATAAACATCGTTGTTTTATATTTTGTATTGGACATACATCATTAACATGTGTACCAGGTATTGGAAAGAAAAATGAATATTTATTAAATCAATTTGGTATACATGATTTATCAATGCTTTATTCAAAATATCGTTTAATTAATAATTATCAAGATTTTAAACAATGGTTACAAAATGAAATCGGTTTTACATCTTATCAAGCCAAGATGACAACATGTGCAATTAGTTCAAAATTAGGAGAAATCAAAGAAATTAATAGTGGGTTATTACCACTCTGTTGTACAAGAAAAGGCAGACGAAAAGAAAAAGATAAATTATTTTATAATGATAAAAATATTAGCAAAAGAAATCGATGTACTATATCAGATAATGAAATAGAACAAATTAAATTAGAAAATTTATCTTCAAGTTCAAAGCAAGATCGACTAGGTAGAGTTCTTTTAAAATTTATGTTTTATTTGCATTTATTTATCAAGAAAATTCACGATCAATCGATATACTAAATAATCAAGAAACATTTACTTCGTCTAGTATCAATAAATCTATACAATCTCAACTGAACATTGATAACAAAGATATCGAATTACTCGAATTTGAAAATAATCTTAACCAAGAAAAGCCAGTTAGTTAACATAGAAAAAATAACTATCAATAACTTGTATTATTTCAAGAGTAAAATACAAACAAATACTAATGTTATTGTACAACATTCTACTTCACCTATAGATGAATCTATAAATGATCAGTCGATTTCTTCATCACATATATTGATTAATGAAAGTCATGTAAACAAACTATTTTCAATTAAATTACTCTAAAAAACGATTTCTTTTAAGGATAAACAGCAATTGGATGTTGATACAACTAAAGAAGAAATTGATCCATCAGCTGAGTCGATAATACTTATGGATTACAATAAGACAAGTAGGTTTTATATTTCAAATCGATTCTTATTTACAATTAAAACATCATATGAAAGACTCATATATAACAATATCTCTATTCTTTTTAGTACAGGATTCATCATCAAAAAACGAGAAAACTACGTTACATTCCAACTTTGATAATCCTTCACACTCAAAGCATAACTTTGAAATATGTACTTCGCCTAAACAAAAAGTACAATCGACACTAGATGTCTTACAAGATAACGACGGATATTCAACGAAATTAATTCTACATAGTACACAATCAAATGATATATCTCAACTTAATACTGATATTCTTCCAACGACTCTTAAACAACAACAACAACAACAGGAGGTACATAATAAACCATTTAAAATAGTAGCCTATCAATGAATGAAAAAGATTTTAAGCAAAATAAAGAGCAGATCCTTGCATTTATCAGTGATGCAAACCCTCAGAAAGAAAATGAGATCTACATTTTCAAGTAAATTAAGAACAACGCTACTTTCGATAAATGAATCGTAAAAGTGTACATTTACCCAGACGTTTCAAGAGCAAACAAAAACGACTGTTAGTTACATAATGAAGCAATCTGTCAATACTACCGACATAGATATACAACTGGCACAAATCAATTCTATTCTATTAATAGATACAAGCTGTTGAAATATCTATAATAAGAAGTCAGATAGTCTAGAAATATGCTCATCTATTGTAATAAATAAACTTTCATCGTTCCCTATCGTTACTTCATAAATCAATACATATGATGAAATATAATCTCTTGATTTATTGTTCATAATCTCGGGAATAGTTTACAAATACTAAAAAATTCTTTTTCGAATACACAACTTGACACATGTTTAAATCTATATAGAGATCCAAACGATAAATACAGCGTTTGCTGTGAAAGAGATGTTAAATGATCAAAATTTTGAAATCGAAAATCAGTCTTTCCAGAGATTGCTAATAACTGATAAACATATTAACACTGATCATTTACAACAGAAACAATTCATTCCAACATCAAATTCTCTAATACCAATCAATACCTTTTCAACCATAAATGCTTGTATAACAGCAGAATTAGGTATTCTAATAGTCAATAATAATTTATCTCTTTCTTTTAATATCTATAGAGGTCAAACAAGAAACCTTGTCCTCAAATATATCTTCGGAAACATTGGCAATGACATTATCTAATGAGAAAAAATCCTTGTCAATACTCTGTAATATGTTTTGTCAATACCCAAAAGTTTCTAATTAATTTATTATTCTGTATTTCAGCACCTTTGTCAGATTCTAAACAATCACTCGATAGAATAAACTCATTCATTAACACAACACAGATCCATTCTGATAGAATAAATCATGTTGAAAAACCAACAATTAATAAATCAATATTACCATCTGATTCAGAATATTTAACACAAAGATCTAGCTTAACAACATTGACAAGTACTTCGTCAAATATTATTCAACTTCCTGAAGAACTGAATCAACGATCATCATTAACAAATCTAACGTAAAACTATATTTTAAGGTCAAATATTTGTATTTATTTATTGTCTCATTCAGTGATACTCCAGTCACATCACGTAATTCTATACATCAGTTATTCTCATTACAGAATATACATGAAAATCAAATAACTATAGGACCATCGTCACTAGCACCGTGTCATGCTCTTTGGGATAATATATCCAATGAGAAAATTCTATTAAAATATAAAAATCATTCTTTTACATCGATGAAAAAAAAGAAAACTGATCAAAGTAAAATTACATTTTCTACATACAATATTAAATAATTCTTCTATAGAAATAAATCATAAAGATTATAATCAAAATTATCATTCTTCAACTACACTACTCACATTTATTGCACGGCAACAATATTTAAGAGAACGACAAACACTTAATGAGCATATACTTTATAGTAAACCGACGTAAAACTTGTACAAATGATAATAAAATAAATTACTTCTATCTATTCGATATAATATAATCGAATCAAATTGCACTGCATAATTGTATCTAGAGTAAATCCCTCAACCAATAGAATTTTTCATGACATATCATGACCTCTCGATATAAAAAACGAGAAGAAAGAGGCTGTTACTAGGCACAAACAATGTGAATGAAATCGACATTACGTTTTATATGAACTGCAACTGTTTTTTTCAATAATTTCCACTTAGTTTTTAAATCACAGCTATGGTACGTTTTGCTCAGTAACTGAGAATATCATCATCAAAACTATTATATAAATATTGTTAAATAATATTTTAGGCACCAAAGAAAAAAGGTGGCAAGAAGAAAAAGAAAGCATCCAAAGGACCGATTATTATCGATGGTCGTCCAGCTTCCGAAGTAAATCTATTGAATATATTCTAATTATTAGTAATTATTTTTTGTATATATATAGATGACAAAAGAAGAATTAGAAGAACATTTAGGTCGTATTCGTGAAGAAGTAGATCGTGAACGTGAAGAAAGAAATTATTTTCAACTTGAACGAGATCGTATAAGTACATTTTGGGAAATAACAAAACGACAGTTGGATGAAAAAAAAGCTGAATTACGAAATAAAGATCGAGAATTAGAAGATGCAGAAGAACAACATCAAGCTGAAATTAAAGTAAGTTTTATTTCATTTATTAGATTATTTTTGTAAAGACTGGAGTCTTACTTTCAATAAAAATTTAAAGATATTCTAGAACTAAATAGAATGAATTTTATTTTCATCTAGGTATATAAACAAAAAGTAAAACATTTACTTTATGAACAACAAAATAATGTTGCTGAATTAAAAGCTGAAACACTTGCTGAATTAAAAGTTGCTCAAGAAACTCATAATGAAAGTGAAAATACAACGTGGCAAGAAAAACGTGAACTTAAAGTTCAGATGAAAGATCAAGAATTAGCTCAACAAGAAGTAGTACGAAACTTAAAGAAGGTTTGTTTTTATCAATATAAATCTTAAGAGAAAAATATTCTTTTGTGTTTTTTAGACAAATGAAACATATATCTCAAAATTACGTGATGATTTTCTTCGACAAGCTCGTGAAATTGAAGAAAAATCTGAGAAAAAATTAAATGATTTACGTGAAGAAATGGAATTACGTCGTAAAACTGAAATTCATGAAATTGAAGAAAGAAAAAATCAACAAATTAATGATCTTTTACGTAATCATGAGAAAGCATTTAGTGATATTAAAAATTATTATAATGATATTACATTAAATAATCTTAATTTAATAAATACACTTAAAGTAACTAAGATTAACTTCCGCAAAAAACGCAAAAACATATTGATTAATATTATTTTTAGAATGAAATTGAAAATAAGAAGAAAGAAGAAGAACGTTTACAAAAACGTATGACTGAACTTGAAAATGAAAATCGTAAAATGCGTGAACCACTTGAAGCAGCACGAAAAGAGTTGGAAGAATTACGACGTAAAGCAGAAAATTTTGAAAAAACGAAAGCATTATATGAAGTAAAATTTATTTTTCAAAAATAGTTTCTATATTAATTTCCATTTAGAAAACAAAATCACAATTGAAAAATACTGAAGCTGATTTCAAAAATTCACAATGGGAATATGAAGTTTTATTACAACGATTTGAAATTGTATATTAGCAAAAATATTTATTTTCTTTAAGTTTATTTTCTTTTCGATTTATTTAGATTCAAAAAGAACGTGATGATCTTTATAATAAATTTATTAAAGCAATAAATGAAGTACAACAAAAGAGTAGTTTAAAGAATTTATTATTAGAAAAAAAATTAAGTACATTAGCCGATAGTCTTGAAAAGAAAGAAGCTCAATTGAATGAAGTATTATCTGCATCAAATCTTGATCCAGCATCATTGTCAGTTGTTACACGAAAACTTGAAGTAAATATTTAGTTTTATTAAATTTTAATTCATTCGTTTTTCTTTTAGGAAGTACTTGATGCAAAAAATACATCGGTAAGAGTTTAAAATATTTTTCTTTTGAATAACAAAATTCGTCAAATAGAAAGTAGAAGAACTTATTTTAGAAATATAAAAATTTAGATTAATAGTTCAGTCAGTAACATTTTTTGTATACATTTATCAAAATTTTATGACTTGTAAAATATTCTGTATTATTAAATAATTTGGGAGTATTTTCATTTATGTTGTATATAAGAATATGTTCTGTTTTTTTATAGATTCGTGATTTACAATATGAATTGGCTCGTGTTTGTAAAGCTCATAATGATATATTACGAACTTATGAAGCTAAACTACGACAATTTGGTATTCCTGTTGAAGAAATCGGTTTTAAACCATTAGAAAGTGCAGTAGCAGGTCAACAATTAGGCCATGGTGTTGCTGGTCTAGTAACAAGTCCACCATGATATAAGTAATTCTAGTGAAATATTGTAAATTCTATCATTATTTATCATCAGTATTTCTTTTTTTTTTGTTGTTGTTTATTATTATTTGTTAATTCAACACAAAAAGAAATCAATGTGAACAATAGAACTGATAAATTGCAGTGAAAATAAAGAATGTGAAACATGTAAAATAATTATTTGTTTAATACAAGAGAAAAACATACACATCTAGTCTAAATTTAATGTCTTATGGGTAAAAAAAACTATGGAGGAGACTTTTCTATTAATATCAGTTGTTCTTATGGCTTAACTCTTGATTACTCTTTGACGATTATCTCTTCTAGTTTTTCAATAATTCCTTTTTCAGGTTTTTGTTAGTATTATAGTGATTTTCAGATTATTACTCAACAACTAACGGCTGTTGTACTTGTTAATATCGATTGCTGTATTCCCTGTTGTTCAAGAATAGAAATGATGAACATCAGAACAGATTGATTGAAGCCTCTGATGGAAGAGAAGACATACTATTAAAAGAAAATCCAAATAACTTCCCACAAGCGTTTAAATGTAACAAAAACATTTAATTGCTTTTTTACTCACTCGATGGTTTCAGTCGTACGGCTTTATATCTACTAGAAAACATTATTAACTGACATTTATCCTGATTCAAAAGTAAACAGTTCAAAACAAAATGATATATGTAGAAAATATGTAGTTTATTCTAATACTAAACAAAATTCTTGTATAAAAAAATTAAGAAAAAGAATACTATGTGCTTGAATATTGTTAAGATCGTTTCGAGTTCACCTATATATATTCACTGTTTTATCGTATTGGAAATGAATTTACTCTTGTTTATCTGCTTTTATATAACCAAAATGTTTTTTTATTTGTTCGAGGAAAATAAATGTTAAAATTGTATGTGGACCTGAAATATTTCGTAAAGAAAAACAATCAAATAAATATCTTTTTCCTTACCAAGACGAATAAAAGCTGGTATAAATCCTTTAAAAAATCCACTTGGACCAGCTTTAAATATATCTGTAACACAATCCATTATTGAATTGTATGTGCCTGGTGGTGCATTCATCATCCTAGTTTTCATAACATCAAATGGCATTGTTATTAGAGTCGCTACTCCACCTAAAAATCATAAATTAAAAAAAAAACATTATACGACTCATTAAACTAAGCATATGTTCAACTATTTATTCTACTCATTTACTACAATACACATATATATTTTTGCTGATATATTACTATAAGATGTGGTTTTTACAAGTATTATCTCTGACTATTTTTTAATTTCATTGAAATTTATCGTGTATTACCAGCAACAAAACTTGAACTAAAATGAGTAATGATGTTATCTTTAAAAACGCCACTAGCTAATAACATCTGTTTAACTTGTTCATAAAAAGCAATTTGTCCAATTGTCACAAGAGCTCCTCGTGCAACAGCCATTGATGCACCTAAATAAAAATATTTAATATAGTATATTTAAATTTCTTAATTTTTAACCATTAAATAATTTTTTTGATCCTTCTTCTCGACAAATTCGAGCAAGACCATCAATAGCATGTTTATAATTTCGTCGTTTTTCTTTTGGTAATTTACAATCATTTTGCATCCGAACATTAACAAGATCTGCTGGTGCACCTAATTTATAGAATAAAGATGTATATATTGATTTTTAAAATTTTCAATCTAACCAACGAATGCACCAATACCACCCGATACGGCAGCAAGAGAAACTTTTTCAATAAAACTTAAATTGGAATCTTTTTTTCCTGATTTAACTGCACCATATATAGCAAAACGTGTTGTTGTATATGTTGCTTGACGAAGACATGACGCTGATAAACCATTATACAGTGCTAAAAATCCATCATCACGTACAATTTTAACTGCCATTGCTTTAAAATAATAAAAAAAAGAAATTAAAAATATTTTTTTGTATATCATTGTGTTGATCTTATTTACAAACAAGGCCATAATCAGCTCGCTGTTGAGTTTGTAATTGTACTTTTATTGTATCAAGTGGATGTGTACAAACAACAGCAAGAACACCAGCTAAACCACCAAAATACCAACGTTCTTGACGAACTGGCTCTTTTTTTGTTGTTTCGGAGCTTTCTTTTTTCTCCATTTAATAAGCAATACACAACGATTACACTTGTTTATCAATAATTCAATACTATGTATATATACAATCATTGCATATATTTTTTTCTTTTCAAATTAAACTATATATTGATAGTAATGCCCTCTTTTCTCATAAGTGATTGGTAGAAAAGCTATGCCTATTATTTTTTTTCTCACTCTAATAATATAATAATTTTTGCTACTGATATCTGTAAACGACTAAATTGCTATTCTCTATCGTTTTACATTTTCAAGCTGTATATCTTATTATAAAATCTACAGTTGATAATTTCCATATAGAACATTAGAAAATCATAATTTCAAGTACATTTCTGATAAATATTCTACAAAGGTATATGTAATAAACTTTTCTAGAGAATTTTACAATTGATTGCGTGAGACTTCTCATCTTTCTTCTTTTACATAGAACAAAACTACTTGATCATCCAAGTGTAAAATAAAACATTTAGCTTCTTTAATGTTTCGCACAATTATTTTCATACTAAAGAGACTGTCAATTTCCTTTTTTTTCATAAGAGTAAAAGACAAACAGAAAAGAAAAAAAACACACAGGAAGGACAACAATAAAAAAAAGAAATGTCGATTATTTTTGTGTTCTTATTTAATAATGATTTAAACCTATCCTCTACTCAACCGAACCAGTTAGAAAACCATATGACATATTGATATATATTTGCTATGTAAAACTAGCTTAGTTAACATACGATAAGCGGTCATTGATTTGTTTTGTATGTCGCTGTATATGACTGATAGATATTCACGAGAGCGTAAAAAATATGTTGTTTACCATTTATTTATTATTATTTTTTTTCGCACACTTTTTTAAATAAGTATTTCAATTTCTTCTGTTAAAAATTATCTTTTAAGATGTCAACAGCACCTATCGATAGTGGTGGATCAGGTGGTGGTATTAATCGAATTCTTTCACATTTATCAACGCCTTTTACTTCTAATACTACAAGTAGTAATATTACTGAAAATCGTGTAACTCCATCAACGGCATCATCAACAATACCAATAACAACAGCAGAAACAACTGAAACAATTGAGATAACATGGATTGATGTATATAATCGTTTTGATAGTTTATTATCTGGTAGTATACTGCATATTCTATATCGTATTATTGATATAACACTTTTATTAATTGGTTTAACATCAAGTTCATCAGCATGTAAAATATCAAATCATTTAGCTATAACATCAATATGTTTATTAATATTTTATTTTATTGACTTAGCAATAATTTTTCTATTATTAGTACGTAATTTATCTTCACGTAGTTCACAATTGACTGAACAAGAAAAATTAGAACAAGCACGTCGTGCATCATCTTTACGTGGATTTTTTATATTTTTTAAAATTATTCCAGTATGTGTTGGTACTGCATATACATTTGCATCAGCATTTACGGATTCATCTGACTGTCAATTAATGCGTGTTTGTCTTGGTATTGTTTGTGTAAGTACATGGTTACTTCTACTTATACCACCAACAAAACCCGAATTACCCGTACGGCGTTCATTTGTTGTTGAATGTTTTATTCTTGTATTTGTTTTAATTATTAATTTAACATATATTGGTACAGTAACAACAGCAATGAACGATGTTAATCAAACAACATGTATATATAATAAAACAGAAGATTTATATTTAGGTGCACCATTAAAATCATATGCATATGTTGGATTAATTTTATTTAGTTGTACAACAATAATACATATGATAAATTTAACTATTAGTCAATTATGTTTACGTTTAACACGTGGAAGACAAATATATATATATTATTATGCATTACAATATACTTTAAATTATTTTGGTGCAATTGTTGTTATTTATTATTTTTCAGTTGGAGCCTTGTTTTTATTTCAACCACGTTCAGGTCAACCATGTCGAAATGATGCACCACATTTATATCGAACTTTATTAATATGGGAATGGATTAGATTATTATCCCCATTAATTGCTATACCATTAATTATTATACTCTGTTGTTTAGGAGTATTTTTTGGAATTATTTTAAGTTACTGTTTACCGGCGTCAATTACTGTACCACTTCTAGAATTATTTCAAGTATAAATAGATAAAGAATATATTTTGTAAATAGTTTCATTTAATTTATATTATAGGGATGGGTGTCAGCTGGACCAATGACAATGAATCCGAATCCACCAGCATCTCAAGAACATATTGATACTTTACCTGTGATTTCATTTGGACAAGATTCTGATCAATTTAATCAAACTGATTGGTAAATATATTTAACGTTTATTATTAATAGACTAGCCAGGGAGATTTCAATTTTCTAGTTTTCTTTTAAATTTTATAAAAATTATTCGAATAAAAAAAGATAAGTTTTTATTAATGTTAATTTTATGATTTATTATAGTGCCATTTGTCGAACTAATTTTGAACCAAATGAACAATTAAAAAAACTTCAATGTGGACATTTATTTCATCCAGAATGTGTAACTAATTGGTTACTGATTACGCGTATTTGTCCCATATGTCGCCAACGTATGTCAGTGACAAATCCATAAGAAAATTTCTTTTTTTTAACAAGAACAGTATATTTACACATATTTGTCTATGTTGTCAAATCGCTTTTTTTATTCCAACAACAATTTATTTACAATTGTTGATAATCTATTCTTTACTTCATGTTCTCATAGATTTATCACATAAGGAAATAAATGATTCGTTATGTATTGTTATGAATTTATCACAATTTTAAGCTTTATATTTATTCAATGTATCTATTTTTATTATTTGAGTTGCTTAGCAACATAAGCACCGTTCCTTTTTTATTATTTGTATATATATATATTGATCTATCATTTAATTTTATGTAAAAATATAGTTTGTTTTATTTTACATTGGAATTTTTAGCATACTTTCAGATAGAAAGTATGTGATATCGTATCAATAAATATCATACTTGTAATAGAAAGTAATCAAGAAATCAATTGCTTCTTATTCTATAGAGTCTTTTACTAAAGAAGAACTATTCTTTTTCTTTTATTTTAGACTCTTTTATTCGTAAATACATATATTACTCAAGTGATGTTTGCAATCACCTCTTTTTCTTCCTTACAATGAATAATTATTAAAAAAATAATGATACGTATGACGTTGTCAATAATAAATATCTGATGTTATTATATAAAAGTGCTTGATAACTAATGAAATACAAGATGATAATTATTATATATTAAAAAATGGATGTTATGCCACATTATTGAATGTGATATAAGACAAGACTAGATAAGGGTTTTACTCATACATGTTCGTTCTCTTTCTTTTCACTCTCTCTCGATATATATTGCTTTCTTTCTAACAAGTATTTTGCCTTACTATTTCTCGTGATTTCTTCCTAACATCCATATCTTAGGTGTCTTCCATTCTATCGTTTTCGTACTATGCTATATAAGAGTGTGTGGAAGTAGAAGTGAGAGGTACGTGTTCAAGTTACATTATAATATCAAATATCAACGTATGACAGACAAAACAATGGGTTCGAAATGTTGTTCATCGTCAGGCACAGAAAAAGAAACGAAAACTCAAAAAAAAGTAGAGTATTCACCAAAAACAGCAGAGGTAAGAAAAATATAGTTTTTATAAAAATAGATAAATAAATAAATAAACAATGTTATTCATAGGAAAGATACAATGCTCGACGAACGGCTAAACTTATTTATCCACCATTATCATCAATACCAAAAGAAGAACCAAAGCGTTCTTTAAGACCTGATGGTGGTCTCTTATATGAACCAGTTCATATGGATTCAGAATTGAATCAAAATAATAGCAATTATCAAAATGATAAATCTTATGTAAAATCAGCTTTCACCAATTATCATACTCAACATAATGATGGTACTTTTACAGTACTTTCACAAGATCCTACACATCATAGTCATGTATTTCATCTTTAATATTTATTAATTTTCAAATATATATGTATATCTATATTTTTATACAAATAAAAAAGTATTATATCAATATATTGCATCACTCAGTCATCAAGAAAATATTATTATACGTTATAAATTGCTTAGTTCAGCAAAACTTTTTCATGATATAATTTCAATTAAAGCAACGTTTTAATAAATAATAGCAGGCTTAATATACTGCTAGTTTAGATTTCTTTCTATATATATATATTGGGTTTGCTGTATGATAATCATTACTCGATGAATAATATTGCTGCTGATTCACTTATCTTACTTGTTATGTCTATTAAGAATTACTCATTCTTGATTATTTGTCTATGACTATCAATATGTTTACGTCAAAAGAAAAACAGACCGTATGTCCTTCACTAGACTATATAAATATTTGAAGACATGATTCATGTTTATACATAATTTGATGAAGAGTTCACCACAGTTGTTATGAGGTTAATGAATTAAAAACTTGAATCACTGCTGCCTTGATAAATACATCTACACGGTAAAATCGATATCTACAATTAGGTTATAAAGCCAAAGAAAACATATAGTAAGACTTAATAGACTTCAATATACAGATGAGACTGGTATGATAAAAATGTTATTCTTTGAAAAAATTTTACCGATAAAGTACGTGGTCGACACGACATTTTGCCGATGCAATATATTACGTCGTCGAAAGGTGATTAGTTTGTTCTTTTTACCTTTTTCATCATTGAAAGAAAATGTCAAAAGTATCATTCATTTACTTTGTTTGTTTGAAGACCATGAAAAATATTTCGATAAAATTTTTGTCAATGAAATTATATATTTGCATGCCAAATCATTGAAGGAATTTATGTCTAATAGTTCTGTTACAATAAATTTTTAATTCAAATATAACAGTTCATCATTATCATTTACTAAATCTTCCTACGAGCTAAATATAGAATTATTTAGAGGTAATTCCCTGTTAAAATTGAGTTTATATCTTTATTTTAATGTGAATAAAAAGACAGTAATCTTATTTATTTAAACTAAAACTGTTCCTAATTAAAGCTTGACTATATGAATAAACTTCATTTTTGCATTCACTCATCAAATATATTCTTATCACCAGGTGGATTAAATGGTGGATTAACAAAACGTCTTCGATGTGTTTCACCTAATTTATCAATTTGATGCATTTCATTAGCCGATAATGCAAAATCATATACATGAGCATTTTCAGTTAATCTTTCTGGTGTTACTGTTTTTGGTATAACAACAAGACCATTTTGAAGATGCCAACGAATAATAATTTGTGCTGTTGATTTATTTTTTGATTTAGCTATTTCTTGAATAACTGGATTAAATAATGCTGATGCATCATCACTCTCATTTTCTCGTTTTAAATTTGATAATGGAGAATAACTAGTAATAATAATATTATTTTTAGCACAATATTCACGCATATCATGTTGATTAAAATATGGATGAAGTTCAATTTGATTGACAGATGGTTTTATACGAGCTATTTTAAGAATTTCATCTATTTGTGATTGATTAAAATTTGATACACCAATTGAACGTGTTAATTTTAAATCAACTAATTTTTCCATTGCTTTCCATGTATCAGCAAGTGTAACATTTTCAGCATAGAGTCGTGTTTTTTCACCTTCTTTTTGTGACCAAAAATTTTCACTTATTTTTTTAAAAGCAACTGGCCAATGAATAAGATAGAGATCAACATAATCTAAACGAAGTTTTTCTAAACTATCACGTAAAGCCCATTCAACATCTTCTGGTACATGATGCTAAAATTAGAAGAAGAAGAAAAAACAATCAATAAATTAGTATTAGAAAAAAAGAAAAAATGTTTCTTTTACTTGATTCCATAATTTTGTTGTTATAAATAAATCTTCACGTTTAATTTTTCCTTGACTTTGTTCAAGTGCTTCATGTATACCATTACCAACTTCATTTTCATTTTGATAAATCCATGCACCATCAATTAAACGATAACCACGATTTAAAATAGCTTCTTTAACAATACTTTGAACTTTGCCTGGTTCACTTCGCCATGTGCCAAGACCTACGAATTAAACAAAAGAAAAATATTAAAATAAGAAAAATTCTATTATAGTTTTTACCAAATTGTGGCATCAAATTATTATCATTAAGAGTAAGTCTTGTTTCCAATGATAATGTTTTATCATTATGTGTTGCCATTTTTGAAATAGATTTTATCTAAAATTATATATTTAATAATACTAAATATCATTAGAGAAAAAAACAATCGACAATCATACAGTCACGTGGGATTTTGTCGAAGTATTTATAAATCGAAAGAAAATTTTCATAGAATTGTTTATTACAAACATGTGGTGATTTTATATATTTGTAGAAAGAAAAACAAAATTGCCATGCAATAGTGACATAAGAACAAATGAAAAGCGCAAACATATGACGTCATTCATTTAAATGCCTCGACCAATAAGCACTACGAAAGTATTTCTATTTGAAATTTGATACAAAAATAATTTCTTAGACCGAAAAATATTTCCTATCCAAGATATTAAAAACCAAAGAATCATCTATTTAGCACATACCTTAGCTCAAATCCTTTCGGAAACTTTCAACTACTCATTAGAATCAATATTATATTTCATAGAGGAAAAAAAGTAATTCGTAACTGCACAATAAAATAAGGTACTAGTTGATAATTTCTTACCATAAATCATCATATAAACCATTCGTTGTCTTTTTTTCTTGGTATATAAAATCTTTACTATCGATATTATTACTTCTGATTTCTCTTTTTACATCATATATGACATACTCTTTCGTGTGGGATCAACAGGTACAGATTTAACACACTTTACTTTCAGTACAAGATACTCAATTTTTTGAAGGAGAACTTTTTCATTTAGAATATTCATTAGTACAAAATGTAAAAAAAAGAAGAAGCCTTTTTACTGAATATAAACAAATTATTCTTCTAGATTTCATCCAAAAGAAACATCAGATATAGAAATAAGTATTGTACAAATACATTTTTAATCTAATAAACAATGATCATAAATCGTCATCTGAATCTGTATCACTTGATGAGAAATTTGTATGATTTGTCTCTTCATTAATCGATGAAAAAATATCTGATGCAAATGATGTTGTATCATGTTTTGGTGGTCGAACAGCTGTTGTAACTGCTGTATATGATGAACTTGTATTCTGTGGTACTGCCATATCAACAACTGTTGCTGTATTAATTGTTGAATTTTGTATACTTAATTGTTGTTGCTGTTGTAATATTTGTTCACTAATACGACCAAGAAGACCACGTCTCATATCAATATTTGTTGGATAGGGTCGACGAATATCTCCTTGTTGCCAATTGTCTGGTGCTACAGTTGAATAACATGATGCTAATTGATGCGCATAACGTATGATTGTTTCTGATGGAAAAGTTTTTGCTCGACGTATATTTGATAATTTTTCACGTGCTTGATAAACAGCTGATGAAAGTACTTGTACAGCTTGTAATAAATATGTTTGTAAACAACGTAATGCTCGATCACATTTAAGAATTTCATCCCGTTTAATTTGTAATTGTCGTTCTAATTCTTGTTGTTGACGAACAATTTGAATTTGTTGTGATAAATAATTTTGTCTTTCAATAAACATATCAATTAAAGTTTGAGTATTAAGATTTGAATTTGTTGATGATGATGATGATGAATTATATAATTGAGAAATTATTTCACGACATATCGTATCCATTTCTTGTAAAAGTAAATCTAATTTACGTCGAGTACCAAGATTAGTATTTTGCACTATTTCAGCCATTATTAGTTTATTTATGATTTATGAGATAAAATGAATTAATAATGATAATGTTTGGTCTTATTTTGTTAGATAGATTAAAATATATCCAATAAAAAATCGAAAATATAGTTACTGACCTCTATGTTTAGTTTTTCTTTCTCGGTATTTATTGGATTTATTTGACAGACAGCAGCTGATTTTCTTCTTCTCGCTCTTTTTTTGTGGTGCAGAAAGGGCCGATCGACTGTCGTATTCTTTCTCTTAACCCACTTGCCCTTTTTAGGTTGATATGGCGTTAGATATTTACTCTTAATAAGTCTAATAGATTATATATACATACATATATATATATAATATACTATTATTTTCAATAGATGAGATTGATATCTTATTGTTAGATATACAATACATACAGCGAGTGTATCAAGAAGAACGTTCATTTTCTTAAATATTAAAATGGCTCTTGGACCTCCAGTTTCAACAGAATCTTATGTTGTTGTTTATAACCCATCACAAGTATGAATTAAAAATCTTATTTTTATTTTTCTAATCAATATCTATTATTATTTTATTTGTTTAGTATCTTAATACTATTACTAATGGTCAAAATGCTGATCGAATTGAAGCACTTAAACTTTTACTTGATTGTATAACACAATCTGATATTGATCTTGTATGTAAAAGAATATATATATCTATATTATTTTAATAAATGAATTTCTATTTATTTATCATAGATAACTCTAGGAAGTATATGGCTATGTGTAGTAGGTTTATTAACAAATGAAGAACAACAAGGATCAATGACTACAGAAATACGTCTATGTGCACTTAAATGTGTATTAAAATTAATTAAAATTGAAGTAAGTTAATTGATAATTAAAATATAATTTCCGATAGTCTTTCTATTGTCGATGATCGATGAGATTTTATTCTTCGAGTTTTTGAATTAGTAACTTTTTGATTTTGACGAGAATGTCTACCAAATGATTTAACAAAACGACCTATTGATGATGATTTAAACCATGTTCCAACATTTTTTGTTGGTTGTTGTTGTTGTTGTTGTTGTTCAGAATTATTAGTTCGAATTGTAGTCGTAGGAGTTAAAGTTGTAGATGTTGAAAATAGTATATGAGGTGCTGAATTTGTTCGATTTAATGGAATGACAGGATTGATAGTTTTAATTGTATGACGACGTTTTTTTTGATGTCGATGTTGAATAAAATGATGAATGATACTCTTTCGTGAATGATGAGAATTAGTAATAATATTAATTGGCAT